AACTTCCCTAAAGTATTTCCAATGAAATTCTATAAATTTAGATATGTAGCATAATTCGCCGAAAAAGGGCTTAAAAAAAATTACAATGAATTCAAAAATTTATTTGCGAATGACTCAAAAACATCAACACATAAACGTCGGTTTATAATTTGTGAAGAAGACGAGATGTGAACTTTAGTAGCAAGTTGTAGGTAGTTTTTAAAAATAATATAACATTTACAAACTGTTAAAAATGAATCAAAATATTTTTTAAAAGTTTCATAAATATATGTCTTAAAAATTAATTATTTATTAAATATATAAGGTGACCACTGTTACAAATTAAATTTTAAAATTAAAGTGCTATGAAATGGGATTTCTCGTAACAAATTATGTCATTGATGTGATTCACATGATGACTTAATAACACTTCACAATTAATAACGCAATTATTCAGAATAAATAATTTAAAATATTTCGCAACAGAAAATTGAAAAAAAAAATATTAAAAACAAACATTCTTATGTTTATCATTTTCATTGTCTCATGTCAATAGTATATATAAAAGTCATATAATTTGTTTAAACTTTCTAGTTCTGTTATAGAGATAATAAAAGTAGACGAATCGAATAGATATAAGTGCATAAGATGAGTGCAGTAGAAAATACGACTGAAAATGGCTTCGATACCGTGCGCTTATGTTCTCACTTAATAACCTATCTCCATGAGAGTTTATAAGAAATTGAATGCTCTTTAAAAATTATTATAACATATTTCTTGAAGAGGTCCATAGATTATCAGTTTTATGGAAAAACAAACGAAAAGAACTTTTTCTTATAAATAAGAAATAAGCAAACTATCAACTTGCTCACTCGTTGGTTCTACAATAAAAAGCCATGTTCAAAATCGATAGATTTTTTTTTTTTTAACTTTGCATAGAATAATAATGTTGATAAAATGCATAGTTTCGGATTCATATTAAAAAAAAACTAAAAAAAGTGCAGAAATTTCACTATTTTTCCCTATATCTCAGAACGAAATTGAAAATTTCATCCGGGAACTTCAAATTCAGATGTAACTCGTGCATGCCTAATGACAAACGGGACACCCCTCAGTGTCTCTGCTACGGGGTCAATTTAACAGTGAGGCACATTTTGACTGAATGTTATGCATATCAAGCACAACGGAATGAAGTTGGATTGAAGAATGATATAACTGAAATTTTGAAAAAACACCAAATTGGCAAACAAATTATTTATATTTCTTCAAATAACGCACCTATACAACCTTTTTTTGAAATTTTAATGTTTTTAATATTTTGAACTTTCAAATTTATTGTTAAATTTCATCTAATGTAATATAAATACCGTGTAAGGTCTAAAATGTCCCGTAAGAGGTTGAGGAAGCCCCATTGTTATAACAGGGTGGCTAACAAACACTTAAAGTAAAATTCCCTGACTTTTCTTATTCCCTGACATTTCCCTATTTAATGATAATTTTCTCTGACCAATATGTCTGAGAACATAAATATTAAAAAATGTATAATTTATAACTAAATTTATTTTTTATACATGAAAAAACAACATAGACGTACTAAAAAAATTCTCTGACTTCTTCCTGCATTCTCCATGTTTTAAAAATTCCCTGAATTTTCCTATTTTTACCGTTCGGCCGCCACCCGGTATAAATAAAAAAATAAAATTCAGATTCAATATTCCAAAAAACCGAAGAGAAACCTGAAATTGAAATTTGAATTTTTCGCACATCCAACTTCCATTCGACTGGACAAATTCGATGACTTTGACGTCGCCAGTTTTCAAAAAGCAACCGATTACACATCATCAGTCGAGGTGAATTCTCTTTTTGGGGCACATTCTTTACACCATATAAAAATTTCATCAGTCAGTTCTTTCGATAAATGAAACATCCAATTTCAAAACTTTAATTTAAATTTACGTATAGAAAGCAATGGATTTCCACCGATAGACCGAAGTCGTGAGTTCAGATGAAGTTTAGCTGCATTGAAAATGGTTACTAATTTAGATGGTTAGAAATGGTGGTTAAAAATGGTTACTAACTTGGGTGGTAAAATGGTTACTAACTTATTAAGTCCTTCAGTTAAATGAAACGGTCCGTAGCTCCTAATCTATAAATAACTTAGCTATCCAGTCCGAATAGTCCGCGATGGAATTCAGCTTTGAAATCGCGTCTTTTTTATTAAAAAATAATATATCTCCACCGTTTTTCAGTAAATATTAAAAAATTAATTCTTTTAATATTCCTCTTACTAAGGACTACAAAAAACATGGTAACATTATTTCTCATTCGTTAATAGTTTCAAAGTTATGAGGGATGACAGAGCTGAAATCAAGAAAATTTCGCTTTATTGCCGCCAAATTGATCTATTTACAGCTGGTTTATCATTTTTTTTATCACGTGAACTCCGGTGTAATCCAAAACAAGCATCCTTGCCGATTACATTATTACTTATGGAATTCATGAACGATAGTCTTTGACGGAGATATGGGGAAAAACATAAAATATGATAGAAAGTGCTAGGTGACCATTTTTGACCTATTTTGGATGGAAGCAGATATGGGATTTTAGGGGACTTTTCATAGTTTGTTCTACATTCGATAAGGAACTAATTGTCTCATTTACAGCCAATTATGAATTTTATTGATATTGGTCCTGTTTTAGGCATATTTTTACTGGGCTAATAATTTAAAAAATATGGTGTGTCCACTCACACGACTTTCCTACCTATTTCAGAAAAGTTTTTATGTCTTTACATTTGTCTATCAAGGAACAAAAAAAATAAAAATGAATTCGATTAATTTTCCTGAAAATTGATCAAAGGAAATATTTGAGTACGATTTATTTGATAAACTAAAGCAATGTAAACCGGCTTAAGGTAGATCAGTGTAAAAATTTCAATACTCTCTAATATTGCTGATCAAAAACTTTTTGCCATAGCCTAATTTATCTAAAAATAATTTCTGTTAAAACAGGAAATAGTGAAGCTTGTGTGATGCGGGCAACAGATTTTCTTACTTTCACTTAGTTATCTTTTTTCTCTCATTCACCCCTTTCTGACACCAGGATATGAAACCGTAATCTTACATTAGAAATTGAATACCTGGTAACTTCGTTAATAGTTGTCCAAAATGAACGATTTTTATATAGTTTTGTAGGGGATTTCATTAAGTTAAAAAAACAAAAAAAAAAAAACAGATCGCAATATTTTCCTTACCTAGTATAGGTAGGAAAGTAATAAATTAAAACACGTGTAGAAAATAGAATAAAATGTGTCATCGCTAATATTGGTTCGATTCCGATGATTTTTGTTTTGTTGGTAATTTAATTACCTTTCAAAAGTTTTATTATAAATTTTACCGTATAATAATACTTAGGGAGTTAGGTCCCATAACAATTTTCTTTTCTTTATAACTTTTTTTCCTGAATTTTTTCGGGAATTTAGTCGATATACGAAAATTGAAAGGACAATTATTAGAACATTATAGGAAAGCTTCATCAAAATCGTTAGAGCCGTTTTCGCGCTACAGTCTATTCCATTTATTGCGCATCAGCTATTGCGCATGAAGCACCCAATTTGTGTCACAGGTATCAGTAGTCAAAACCCTACAAAATAAAAAAAGAAGCAACAAAATCGGTTCACTAGTCCGAGAAAATCTTGGCACAGACAGACCAATGGCCAAAAATGTGTTTTTCGGACTCACGAGGCTCTGAAACGTATAGATCCGTCAATATCGGAAATTTGACCGGATCGCAATACTTTCCTTTACTAGTATAGGTAGGAAAGTAAAATGAATGAATCAAATATCATTGTAATGTAATACATGTATAAATTGCTGAATAAAATGTTATCTGAACTATCTTCAAATTAGTGTCAGAAACCTTAAGTACTAACTTTAAGTGTGGGAGTTCTGATATCGTTGATTTATCAAATATTTTCTGTTTGAACTACAAATAAAAATAGTTCATTGATTCTAAAGGATTTAGTACAAATAATTAACATTCTATAAATTGTGAACAAGAACAAGACTAGAATCATATTAACTTTAAGCAATTATTTATGTAAATATGTTTAAAATTATTATAGTGTTAAATTTTATAGAAATAGTATGCTATTTGCGATAAGTTTCAGTAGCAGGGTGTTTATCCATAACTTGTACAATCAGCAATATTTAGGAATCAGGATATAATGGAAGATTAATTATAATGCTTAGTTATCAAAATTATGAAATCGACTAGTGAAGTATATTCTGTTTGATAAAATATAAAAAATATAATTTAACATGTAATTCATAGTTCAGCAAAACAAACACACATAAACATTTTACGAAAAAATTTTTAACGCACCTTGGTACAATTCAAACACTACCATACATAACGACTTAAACACCCCAACAGTAAAATCCTACATCCACGACAAATACACTACATTTCATTCTTCAACCCAAAATCACTCCAATCCTCTGGTTCTTTCTATCTCCTGCTCCCTGTTACCTGAGCAACGAAGATTAAGAAGAAAATGGCCAAGAGACCTACTACATAAATAAAAACATCAACATAAAAAAAATCAAGCAATTACACCAAGACAATAAACACAACAAATTTGTTAGATGCGCAGGTGCAAATTGCATAAAATAAAATATAAATAAAAAAAATAACATGTAATTATCTTAATATAAATTTTCTATTAAAACTTACGTTGACTGAATATACATAACAAAATATATAAACATGTATTTATAAAATATCAAAATAAATAATAAATATAATCAGAATAAATATATCAATATGTTCCAGTTATACATTACTATATCCCTATTGATTTCCTAAATTCAGAGAACAGGTGTCCTAAATTCATTGAAACGGAAATAACCAGTTATCAGCCCAGTGACAGAGTTGATTGAAATTAATCTATTATTTGCTAAAAGTGATAGCAGTTTTCATTAAAAACCTAATTTCCAGTTCTTCCTGGCATTCACCTGTCAGTTGTTTTATCAAGCTATATATTCAATATCTGCTTGATATCTTACCATTTCCATGATGGGAATTTCTCCGAGCGTGAGTATATTATTCTATATTAAAATTATTAATAAATCTAACCTGATCTTCCTGCATGTTATCGTTTTCAAGATCTTCATTTTCTCTTCGAAAACTATTCCATTTTCATTTTTCTCCCATTCCCTGATTCAAATTTACTCATTATATAAATGAACATAAAGAATATATTTGTATGAGCATGGTTTGAACACTGTATTTCACTCTGTTTCCTTGATATATAGAGACTATTATAGATATATTTTGTAATGAACAAATTATATAGTAGCCAACAAATTTTAATTATATTTATTGTTTCTAATTTTCACTTGATTAATTAACCAACTGACTATAAATATAATAAGAGGCATTTACGAAAACAATTCAATTAAAAAAAAATATATATACATATTCTTCCATATTCTATGCTTTGATTTATTAACAAATCTTTATTCTATAATTAAAATATATTAATTAAATAAATTCACAAAGTGCACATTATCAGTAAAAAAAAAAAAGAAAAGTTCTCGTCTAGTTCAAGAATTTTTATTTTTTTATTTTACAGTAATATTTTCATCCAAATTTAAAAAAACTGCTACTGTTGGATCCGTGGGTGTCATCCCCCCTCCCAAGTACTCTAGTAAATTTTTCTTTAAATACATGATACATTCAATTTATTTTTCTTGTTCCTAATTCACATAGATCCAGCACTAAAAGTGAAAAATTAAATCCTTTCCTTTTTTAAATAATCAACAACTTTTTTTTAAAAAGTTTTTTAAAAAAACATTAGGCCAAAGATCACCAAATATACACATTATCACATTATTTATTATTTCTTCCACGTTTTGGCTTCAAGAGCCATTTTTGAGATTCTGCAAACTAATTTTAATGTAGTTGTTATACTTTAAACTATATCACTATGAAACACATATTAATTTATAAAAATCAGTTACATACACAGTCTAAATTCTATTTTTATTCAATTTTTATATAACACAAAAATGTTTGATTATTTTGATTAAAATTAATGAAAAATTTATTATCTACCACCTACCATGCACCGCTTCATCAAATTTCTTAAAATGTATCATTATAAAATTATTAATCATTTTCAAGTGTATTTATTATAGCCATTTTACACCAATTTTCAAAATTTTCTCAACTTAATGACTATACATCTAATATGAATAGAAATGAGACGGATGACATGTCGGTGACACATTATAAGGTGGACATGACAAAAATAAAAAAAATTATTATGAGTATAGGCATGCAATTCGCATAAGTGAAAAGGACAGGTACATGATTGGTATTTTAGACTTGAAAATGGCTCAACAAGCCGAAACGTCATAATTAGATGTACAATCATTAAGTTGACAAAATTTTGAAAATTGGTGTAAAATGGCTGATAATAAATAAACTTGAAAATAAATAGTATGCACCGAAGAAGAATTGGAGAAATATTGTGATTATTAATCATTATAAATTGTTAAGTTGAATAAAAGATTTTTATAAAATAGAATTTAGACCATGTATGTAACTGATTGTTATAAATTAATATGCGTTTTATAATGATATAGTTTAAAGTATAACAACTAAATTAAAATTAGTATGCAGGATCTTGAAAATGCTTCCTGAAGCCGAAACGTTGAATAAATAATACATAATGTGATAACATATATAATTGGTGACCTTTGGCCTAATGTTTTTTAAAAAAACTTTAAAAATGGCACCAAGCCTAAAAAATACGATTTAAAAAACAACATGGTACTCATGAAAGATAAATAAAATACTTATATAATTTGGATGTTTTAAAAATCGTCTCATTAAACCATTCAGTTTAGAAGTTCAGCACCAACTGCAAATAAATATTTGACTCTCGGGTTCAAAATATAAATTCTTGCCACCTTTTCAAGTTGAAGGAATATTGAGCTGATAGCTGTGACTTTCATGAATTATCGATACTTGGACGGTGGACATATCTTTTTATATTTATCTTGAAAACTATACAATATAAGGTCTAATGAACGAAACCTGTTTGTGTACTGTAAATAGAGAGTCTTACAGAATAGGTGACTTTTTTTGTAAATGTCAGAAACAATTTTTCAGAGAAATATGGGTATTTTAAAAATCTACATTCAATAATGGACCGTGACGTTCATGAGATTTACTTTTCTTTATAATTAAATTTAGGCCACAAATATGAATATTTTGCATGATGTTTATAATCACTATAAACAGGCAAAAAAGACAAATCAAAGGTCATTATCAGATTTTTTTATTATTTTGTCCTCTTGAAAACTATGAATTCTAGAAACACTAAGTCTTCAAAAGTACATATTTTTTTCTCTTAAATTAACCAAATACGTACACCGAACATAAAATTTAAAAAATATATATAAGTGTAATTGTTATGTTAGTAATTATGTAAAATTAATAATCTATACCAATCAAAAAGAAACACAAGAAAAACTTCTTCAATTTATAAGGATTTATTCTTTTAATTATATTAATTTAAAAAAATACATATATATATTTTTTTTTCTTTAAGAAAACATAATAATTTATTAGATATTATCAAGTGTGTCTATACAATATAGGGTCAATTACCAGTTCAAGTGTCAATACCTCTCGATATCGAGTAGCAATTTATCACTTCAACGAGTATTTTCCTCATATTTAATTTCTTAGTCATTCATTTTGAGGAATGACAACAACAAATTTTCTACATTGTAATGTAACAATACAAGATTTTTCAAAGAGTTTTTTAATTAAATTATAATTTTTAAAAAAAATTCAAAATTATTTTGACAGGTGTAATTTTCAGGTTAGCTGTTTTTAATCAGGTTAATAAATGGCAAAATAATATGAATAAAAGAGAAAAAAAATTAAATATATAATAAGAAATTTTAAACAAATTCTTATAATAACAAGTACAACCAAGTTTTTAAATATTCTTTTTACTGTTTTTTTTTTTTTTTTATTTTAGGTTATTTAAAATGACTAATAAAAACCGAAACGTCTTCTCATTAAAAAGATTTTTATTGTTGATATATAATTATATGAGTATTGTAGTCCAACTAATTAAACATCCTATTCCAAAATATACAAAGAAGTCTATCTAATTGGCAGAATTACGGTCCAACTTAATCTATTATTGATTAAATGTTATAATTAAATAAATATCCCACTAAAACTGAATAACCAAAATAAGGTTGTTTATCATAAATAAGCAGAATTTATTTATTTTTTACTTTTACTGAGCACCTCAGATGAACCCCATCGCCTTGTTAGAAAGAATATAAATATACGAGAAATTATTATGAGAAAATAAAATTCCTTAAAATGCAAAGTATGAAGTAGAAGGAGAATATTTAAACCATAAGAACACATATAAAAAATAAAATTCTCTTACTAGTTTAAACCAATTAAAATCCATTCATAAAATATAGTTATTCACTATTTCTTTTTAAAATAGTATATGAAATAATTTATATTTAATTCAGAAAATGTCAAGATCAATTTAATTTATAATTCAGTATTTGTACAAATAATTATAAACAAGATATAAAAAGATAACTTTAAAATAGTCACCAAAAATGAAAATATTGTAATGTACAAACAAATAATGTATAGCGGTAATGGAAATGATTATTATAATTTACTAAAATTCATAGTTTATTTTATTTTTTTCATACCACACTAAAAGATTTTTTGTCCTCAAAAACACAGTATAAATAATTATTTTTAAGTTTATATTATTATTATCTAAATTAGGGTTCTTTATAAGTAATAAAAAAATTAAAATATTAGAAATTTTATTTAATGTAATAAGGTGTATTGCTACCGTTAATGCAAAAAATTTTAGAACAAAATAGTAAATTTATGGTTAGCTATTAATTTCTTTGTGAATTTATAGTGTGTGGTACAAACCCTTTTTATCATATTGTTAACATCCGACTGAAACTTCATAAATAGCTTTATCTCATCGTAATCTTAATATTTTATTTATGAAAACTCTTGGAATTGAGGCCTTTTCAATCTGGAGATTGTCAAACTTTGTTCATTTAATTGGGTATTAAAAATTGGTAAATACTCATTTGCTTTCCACTTGAACCGTAAGATAATTTGACCACAAACGTGACCTACCCCCGGAAAATATCAAAATAGAATAGAATAGAACAGAAAATAATTTTATTCTGGGACGAAGTCCCTTCAGAATAACAAAAAAGTACAGAAATTAAAATTTTACATCTGGCCAGATAAAAACAAACATAAAAAGTAAAGATAAAGATAAATCAGTAAAAAAAAAAAAAATATATTAGTTATACATAATATATACAAAATAAAATAAAATAATCTATATACAAAACTCTCGAAACCATACTAAGATACTTAAAACTATGTACAATGGTAAAATATAAATAAATCCTTTTAGAAAAAATACAAAAAAAAATAAATGTAAATTCTTCTTAACAGTAAAATCTGTTTTTCTGTTGAAAAAAAAATAAAAAATATGTAATTTTACATAAAAGGTTAGCTGGTATCTGACTGTTTTTGGAACAGAAATTGGAATAGGAGGGTTTTGAATGTAGATAGGGATAAAGAATGTCGGATTTTGATAGGAAGGGAATACCAAAAATTAACGGAGCGAGCAATAAAGGAGTTTTGGAACGAGGCAGATCTGTGAGAGTGAATGTAAAGGTCGGAAGGTCGAGATCTTGTGGAGAGGGAGTGGATTGAGGACTTGAATTGGAGAAGATTGTAGGCGTAGGAAGGACGATGATTGTTGATGATATGATAGAGGAATGTACCTAGGAATTATTGTCTTCGAATGGAGGGGAAGAGCCACTCTAACTCAGTGTAGTGGTGAGATACATGGTAGTATCTCGGGGCACCAATTACAAATCTCACGCAACGAGGTCTTATAGGTCAATCGGCCCAATATTATTGTAGGCCACCTTCTTCTTCGATTTTGTGATAAAATTATCTTATGATCCAAGTGGAAAGCAAATGGATATATA